CAATGAAAATAATGTCAGTTTCATAATAACTCTTATACCTTGAACATGTACATGTGAGACATCTTTTAAGGTCAAATGACAATGTAACTAATAGTAATAATAATCTCATATTAAAACAATCTATTCTACAAAACTTATGACATGCTCATGTTACAGACGTTTTCTTCTTGATGACTGTTGTAGAATAAATAAATCTATAATAACACTTCCGGAAAATTACATAGTTTGTCGGTTTCGAACAGAATATATTCTTGATAACAGCTATAAAAATAGTATCAACAGTATACAGAAAAGATGAAAATGACGTATATTAGACGCATTGTACAGTCGATTAACAAAAATCTAGACGCGAGCATATACACAAATAAAGTAGATGTGTCATGCATTTGACGGCAGTTGTGCCAAGAAATATTTTTTTCTGATATCAGAACTACATACAAACAGTACCTAAAAGCGAACAATTCGAATTACAGAGATTTGGTAGTACATGTGCAGGATATTAGAAAAGGTTTTTAATCTGACAAGACAACTAATAAACTATCGGTCTTTTAGATCATTAGTCTCGATTACGACGATGCCGCACCGTAAAAATTAGACGGTGCCTAAAAATATGCATCTAGAAATTGACGGTTTGACAGTTATCCGAGGTTTGTAGGAGGCTTGATAAACACGGATGCTGAATAATTATTTGGTGTAATACTGTTTGTTTATGATATAAAATTCAGAAAAAAACGATTAACAAAAACATTTTGTACGAAAGACTCGTAATTAGAGCCCTGCGGGATTGAGTTTTTTCGTCCCGATCCCGATCCCGTCCCAAAGGATTGAAACCCGGTCCCGCTCCCAAAAAATTCTTTTCGCCAAGCCCTATCCCGATCCCGTCCCGTAGGCATAATTATAATCCCATTAATTCCCGAAGTGTTTTTCGCTAAAATGAAACAGATCTATTATTGCCGTTCACTTCTGTGATTGCTCTCTGCTAATGTTCAATGGGCGAATATTACTAGGTGTGGATGTTGATGGAATGAGATGATTGGTTGGATTTTGTACAATAATTTGTGTGATCATGAACTGGCATTTGATATAGTGTGGATTCTTCTTTTGCGATATCTGTGAGGGCGAGCCAGTGAATTAGATAGGTAAGAGTGATCGAGCTTAATGAACGCTTCTAATAACTGAAGCAAATTGGCATGTTTAGACAATAACTTGCCGAAAGGATATGTTCTGGAGAAAGATGTTGGGGATTTTAAGTATGAAGAAAGTCATATTTAATGCTGCTGATTTTTGCCATTTGTTTGCTCTATGAGAGAAATCTTTCGTAAATAAATCGTGCATCGAGTAATGAATCGAAAATTTGTTAAATTATTTTTGGTTCACAGTCAGTAGAGCAACTATGATATAGAAAAAGAAAATATCATAGTGAAGCAAATGTCTCAAAAGCGCTGAAATGTACTCGCTGATATTTCGTAAAAGTGATGAAACACAGGCACAATATGCAATCCTTCTGGCAGAAAAATTCTCGCATAGAAGTTGATTGATGATTAATGATGGCATAGGTATCAGAATGAGAAATGCTGAGAAACAAATGTCTCTCCTCGAATATTTGTTCAAGAATGTTTTCTATTGTGACTACTTGTCTCATATACTCAGTTACTGAATCATATTTCTTTTTCTTTATTTCTCAATATTGATTTTTAATATCTTTTAAAAACAGTATTTGGCCGGCATTCAATTCTGATATTGTTCGTGGCATAAAATAGCTGTTAATGTTCCATAAGTGTTAATCGAATCATCGTCAGCTTCGATTGCTGCTTTATGTGAACAAAGTCGTAATCTGTCGATATAGATAGTGACAAAATATAAATTTTTGCCTGCACTTTAGTACAAAGCAAGGCAACATGCGATAGTCAAGAGTTTAGCATTTACGTAGGAATATCTTAATACGGTTTTGGTTCTCATCTTATTGCTACAGCAGAAAAAACTAGTTTTCTAATTCATAATTTCATATCACCGATAAAAAAAAATTAAAGTTTGTTTAGAGTTAAGGAAAAGTGCTTTTTCGTATTCAGCACACTTGATAACCTGAAAAATTTTCTATTTTTAGCGAGGGGTACCGTCAAAAAGTTAAGAAAAATTTTCAAACAAATTAACGCAGAAAAATCCCCATGGTAAAATTAAACAATTTTAAAAATTTTTCTTAACTTTTTGACGGTACCCCTCGCTAAGAATAGAAAATTTTTCAGGTTATCAAATGTGCTGAATACAAAAAAGCACTTTGCTTTAACTCTAAATGAACTTTAATTTTTTGTCGGTGATATGGCGCATGCATGGGATAGTATGACTTTACATTAACACTTTTTTCAAAATCCAGTTCATTGCGTACGAAATTAAGAAACAGACTATTGTCAGAAATAGCAAGATTAACAATGGATGAACAGTTTGTTAATATCCAACAATCAGAAGATTTAATTCATAGGTCATTTAAAACTGATCGTAAGTTAGTTAAATCCTATATTTATCCTAAAACAGTCGCTCTTTTTGAAAAGAGCGACTGTTTGCAAAAAAACAATATCTAGTGTGAAATATCTATCAATCTTTTCTCTCTTGAACATCTTGGAATGAACTGAATAAAGTTCGGACAAAAAATTGTTAAAATTCCAACTGTCAGAAATGCTAAGCATCGTTTCATTCGATACTTTTGATCGGATCAATATCAAAGAGCTTTAGTCTGTTCGCTGAAGTAAGATAATATATATCTTGTATATATTATGAAAATAGCGTAAAGCTGAATATCAGTTTGAGTGATTCAAGATTTGTTGACGATATAGATTAATGTTTTCTTTGTTGGATATTTCCATACCTGTAGGATTTACATCACAATATCAAAAACTTGTCACATTAGCCTAGTGTTAAAAGCATACTGATAAAAGGCATGAAATATAATTTTTTTCTTTACTGTTAAATATTTGAACGGTTTGTCAATTCACCTAGCAAGTTTTGTTGTATAGAAGAATTCTCGAAGCAGACTGTTATAGTACCGTTGATGAGTCCAATTGCACAAAAGGTCTCTCCTTGGAAACCGATGTGGCATTTCTGTTTGTAACTACGTTTTAAATGTTTTACCATCTGCTCATTGCTTATTTTAATAAATCTTCCCCTTTTATCATGATGTTTACTATTGCAAGTTACACACAATGCTTGCTCACTAGGAGATTTTTGAGCAATGCATAAATTGGATCCAAAGATCAAAATAAAGAGATAAAAAGTTCATGCAATGACACTGCATGAGTTCAGCACAAGTTCTCGAAAAATGCAAGCGACAAACACAGCTTCAAAAATTCATTCGCCTCTTCTGTTATGAAATTTTTAGTCGTACTGTATGCCCTCATACAAGAAAATAATCCTGCTGGGATCCGGTGTTTTCAAAGAACTTGCAAGAGTCTTACTGTAGGGTTCTGTGATATTCTTTGATAGGATTATGACCGTAGAAGCGTCTTACATTTCTCATAGGATCCTGCAAGGAGATTCTGATAAATTCTTACAATACGAGATTGTAACACCAAGCGTTTTTTTTATGTTGGAACATGAGGATCATGAACTTTGGCCGAAAAACTATGGCTGTTAAAGGTTGATGATTTTCAATGTTGAAAATGCATGAAATGTACAAAGTTTAGAGTGTACAGCACACTTCTTGCGCCGTAAGTTCTATTTTCTCGAATTTTTTCCTCGTTATAAGGAGAAAAAACAGTACGCTTAGCACGCTTTGATTTCGGAACGTCGTTCAGTTTTTTCGGATTATTTCTGACTATAGTCTTTCTCACGTATCACACATAATTGTTATACTTTTTTTTACAACAATTAATAAAGATGTTGCTCGCATATCCTTAAGTCGGTATTCTCATGACGGATTTAACGAGGCCGCTCACGTCTGATTCTTTCCACCTCTAGTGATGGTGCTGTGGGTGGCTGATTGGCTTACATCTCTACTTAGCCAATCAACCGTTGGTCGAATTAAAATTTGCCAGCATCCCAGGTCAAAGAATCTTACTGTAAGATTTTATAAGATTCTTGTACGATTCGCCTGATGTCCCAAGATTCTTATAAGAATTCATAAGATTCTGTAAGAAACATAGAAACTAATTCTTGATGTAAGATCTTATAGTAAAATTTCATTGAGTTTCGTAAACTTCTTGTATGATCCTTGTAAGATTTTATAAGATGAATCCGTTTCTATGATTTTCCATAAGATTTTATAAAATCTTATAAGATCTTGATCTGATTCATTTACCTGGGATCGATTGCTTGTATTCTGCAACTTTGAACAGTCACTTGGAAAGCTTTCTGAAAAAGCTATGATTGTCTTCGGCAGCCGAATTCAGCGTTTACACTTCGTTTCACACCGTCTGCCACCTTTGAAATACCAGGTTATTTAGACTATGTCTTTTCTGAACTGTCTACATGAAGTATAAAATATCGGCTATTCGGAATCTCTTTTAGAAAAAGGCGAGATTATTCAGTAAACAGAAGTTTTGATGTAAGTACGCTAACATTAGCTGGACGCATACTAAATTGAAAAACTTCCATCATGTCCAAAAATCCATTTAAACCACTTGAAAGATTCATAATATGATTACATGAGTAGATCAAATGTGAAAAAATCGAAAATTCCTAGATTCTTTTAATCGAGTTTCCGATGTTCTACAGCACTAAGATATTTGTTTCAAAACTTATGGTTTTCTCACTTTTTCTTTTGTATCTATTTTTGAAATATTTCTCTTTACGTCAAGAACAGAAAAACCAGGAAAACTTTAATAAATATCATCAGTGAGAGTAGGTAGATAGTAGTAGAAAATAGCGATCAAATCAAGAATCGTTCATTCACTTTGCTTCTAGTTATCCCTTAAGTATCCTGCCAAAGTCAATGAGTATTTACCAGTATATCTTTATTTTTCAACGAAAAATACAATATAAAATAGAATAGAAGATTATACATACTTAATTCATGTTTTTCTTTGTTGTTTTGCCGCTATTGAACTATTATTATTATAATTGTGAAATCGAGCGACTATTGCTACTGCTTTCAAACTCCGTCGACGTGGCTTAACATCTTGTTGATCTGTCGTTGGTATGGGTGTTGGTACGGGTGTTGGAGTTAACACTTTTCTCATTAGTTTTCTAGTTTTCAAAGTTGAACCGGTAAAAGAGATCATTTTTGTAGCTTTCCGTAATTTATTCAAATAATCAGGAGTTATATAATCGGGATCGTTTAACAATGGAATATATTGGTCACACTCTAAAGTAGAAGGGAAAAAAAACAATAACTTTCCTAAAACCCATAAAATTTCTTATTTTACCATCAATTTTCATGAGTATCAATTGTTCTCGTTGTGTAAATAATGTTTGTGCATTTAAATTCAAACTTGGCTGTTCCATTAAACGTTTTGGTTCACTTGTGATAAAATTACATAAATCAAATCTAACAATGTCTACTAGGTCACATTTTTCACGGATATAATCGAATATATGTTTCAACTTAGTAAAGAAAAAATTAAAATTTATGGATAGTTATTTAGAAAAATTGTTGGATAAAGTTTTGATGGTTAATTTACCTTTGAATTATAATTAACAATAAGTGTTTTTTTTTCACCGTAATGAATTTGAATAAACATATTCAAATTATGATAGAGTTGTTAAGAGAGAACAAAAAAGAAAATGTATCTACAAAAATCTATTATGATCGGATGAATATGTTTAGATGACGCGGAAAATTGAAGCCGTAATTAGGTGATGACGACAACGATAGAAAAGAAAAGAATAATATTTTAAACGGAAATAACGATTGGCAATCGGAAAATATTTAAATAAAATATATTTCTTTTTTTGACGTTCACAATAAATTTAATGATAGATACTTTGTCTATGCACTCTATTTATGAATACTTGTCGATAAGAGTTAAATCTACATTTGTAGAACTAATAAACAACTGAAATTAAAGTTTTTTTCTCATTCTGGGACAAAAGATATCATTTGAAAGTGGCGTATCTTGAACACCCGGTCATATCTTATCAGAGGAAAATATGTATCGCCTATTACCTTCAGTTTGAATTTCATGATGGTTAGACGTCTCAACCAATAAGCCGCCGGCGCCGATGAAAAACCTTGAAAAGTGTTTTTGATTATTTTTGTACAAAAATTACACATAAGTAAAGTGCCGGTAATCCAAAAATCGAACAAAATTTTTCTTTTCTTTACCTGATTTAGTTGAATAGATCTCATCGAGTTGCCTAGGAGAACATCGATTTTGACTTTTTAAAAAAATATGTCTCGTTAGAAAAGATAATGAATAATAAAAACATGACATACGAGCCAAACCCCCAGGCAAACGTTTTCTGGAAAAAAAACGCGTTGATGTACGTTAATTTCTAACGCGTTTATCAGGATGCATTTTGACCGTTTCAACGCGTTGAAACGCGTTTGTATTCTGTGACAATCAATTAAAATGAAAAAAAAAATAAACTTCAGCATCAGATTAAATTCTGGTACATGTCTGGATGCATAGATATGCATACAAACGACTATATAACCCAGTAGAGTGGCGAAATAGAGGAAGAAAACAACTTGTACTTACATGACTTCAGTGTGATTTGAACGTGGGTACCTAGAATTAAGAAGCAAACACATAACCATCTGAGCTATCAGACGATCGAAACATATGCAGTAACAATGCTATGTGTTTTGATCATCTCAGTCAGATAAGACAGTGTTTGCTTCTTTATTCTATGACTTCTATGTTTCATTTACAAAGTAAACAAATCTTTTCGCTCAGAATAAAGTCAGACAATCATCTCTTTTCGCATACCTAACTATGTGTGTGCGGGAAACGAAATAGTCTGTCTGTTAGGTCGATAACTCCGTACCTCATCCTTCTGTTTAAAGGTGAACTCTGATACCGAATTGCACTTTATTGAGAAACTCACCAGATGTAAGTGACTTTTTTGAAACAGGATGTTTCTACTCTGTCATCCGTGTAGCTGTTGAACATGAATAAATCTGCTAATACAGGTCGCATTGTTATTTTCTATTTTTTGTATTCGTACTGTTTCGGTTATTCCATGTCACAAGAAGATTTTAAAGTCAAATGGTCTTCTTGTTTCATCTTTTATGATACACTTTGAAAAAAAATTAAAACGAAAATAACGCATAAAAACGCGTTAGATTACCAAATAATGGTCCTGCTAAACGCGTCGGTAATTAACGCATCCGTTTTCTCTAACGCGTCCGAACGCATTGAATTTAAACGCGTTTCGATGCGTTTATAGTACACAAACGCATCGGAACGCGTTCATTTTCACCAAAAATGCGTCAAAACGCGTTGCCTGTCCAAATTAACGCGTTTCAACGCGCGTTGACTCAGAAAAGGCTTGCATGGGCCCTCGATTGTTACCACCCTCACTTACAAACTAATTAACTCTTTATAGATACCCGAGGTAACAATTCTTTCGCTTCCATTCTAGTCTCTATATGTGTGGAAAGGAAGTTACAGATCAAATTTGGATTGTATATTTTGTTTGCTGGAAAAACGAATATTTTTAATTGAAAGATTTTGCTTACGAAGTTGTCTATCGGTTCCATATTTGAATCTTTTTTAACGAAAAATATCTTTTTAAGAAACTAAAATCGTTTTTCTATGTAACTCGATGAACTCTATTCAACCAAATCAGAAAAGACGAAAACGAATTTTGCTCGATTTTTGCATTACCGGCACGTTAAGAAAAAGCATGTCAGCGCCACCGGAGCCGAGAAAGTTTTCAGATGATTCCACCTGCCATCGTCGGTAACAAAAACGTTTTAGTCAGTCACCGTCGACCAAATGGCACCTCTAGCTATACTGTAAAAGAAATGTACCGGTACCTGTATAATCGTGAAAATAAGAAATATCCTTAAGTCATGAGCCGCAAGGCGATGCAGCTCTTTGCTACCGAAGTTGCAAAACAGTTTTTAACTAAATGATTTTCGAACAAGAATTAAAGGGTTCCACATAAGGTTAGGAATCGCCCACTCTTTTCCGAGCAAAAACGGTCTCGTATGTAGTAAAAAAGTATTCCTATGCGACTCCATGTAAAATCGAATGCTTTTGTTCCCAAAAATCACGTTAATTCCGCGACAATATCATCCCAATCGGCACCCTTAAAACAACGCAAAAACCATAAGTAAAAGCTGTTTTCCTCACATTTTCTACACCTGAACAGCATAGTAAATATACTATTAGATGTTTTTCGCCGAAGTTAAGCGTTTCTTTTTTGCGGAGTTGGATTTGAATTGAAGTTTGCTTTTTAAACGACCGGAGTTGAGTTACTGACAGATTTTGTCAACTCCAACTCTGAAACTCCGCTTCAAGGTATCTTCAACTCCATCTCCTTTTCTTCTCTAGAGCTCTTTTTGTTTGATTTTTATGTATTTTTGTCGCAAGAGATATAAACGTTTGCTCAGCATATAATAACATATGATACACTTCACATGTCGCTGGAAGTGTATCATACGAAAGGACAAGAAATGCGCGCATGGTGATCATATGGTACGTACGAAAGGGTGAAAAAAGAGAAAAATCTGCTCATTCTGTGATAATCTTAGTTCTCAAACAGCGGTCTTTTTACAAATCAAATATAATCTATCTTTATTTATCCACAAATCACTTATTGTGTCATGGCAGCTTTTGCTTCTACATCTTGAGTTGAAATTACACAAACAAAATGCGGTAAAAAAGAAACTCCAAAACCATGTCTTGAGAAGTTTTATGTTAAATATAAAAGAGAAAAGTGATGATCAAACAACTGCTGATTGTTCATTATGCAAAAATGTATAAATGTAATAGGAGATATTCTTTTCTAAATTTATTAAGATCAGTAAGAAATTGAAAAATGCTCACATCACAAGACCTGTATAATCCTTTATCAGATTACTTTATGTATCCAAAAGTTCTCAATAGAACTCAGTATTAAGCAACAGCATCAGGAATGAAACTCACATGCTATGTCTTACTTTTATTCATATCTGCCACGTCGCTATTTAGAAGAAATGGTCTGTATAGTAACGAAAACGAAAGGATATGAATACCCAGTCACAAGTAGAATGAGTAGGTTAAACAGTTAAGTATTTTAAAAGTGCCTGTCATTTTATTTGAGTATCATGTTATTAATAGAACATAATTACATTTAATTACACAGAGCAAGCGCTAAAAATGTTAGTATGTCATTCCTCAGAAACCTGAAACAACGTATTTTATTAGAGGAATCACATTTCTGTATATGTAATTACAATGATATTTCAAGGAGAGCAACAGCTAATAGACTTGAATTCTCCACAGTTCACGTTCTGTTTCCTCGGTTATTGCTGTTCGACCATGTAGCAATAGATGATTTTCAACAATGACCAAATCATCGTCATTCCACGTGTGTTCCATGTACCATTTTGGATCGCGCATCGTCTGCTTCATTATACTATTAAACTTTTGAAACGTTTCTGTATCCATTTCGACACTATTTATTGAACATTTGCTTTCGACTGGGTGAATAACATTATTCGATATCTCTAAATATCGGAAGATGTTTTCATTTGTTTTTGGATGTGACATTATCATAGGATAGACATACGTTTTTCCTCCATAGTATGACAGTGGCATGGAACTTGAAACATCAATCGTTTTCCAGTGCAAGATATCTTTTTCTTCAAGTGATTCCAGCAATAATCGTCCATTGACAAATGTTGTTTTTCCGTTTCCATGTTCAGGAGGAGCTTTGACAGAGTAAAGCATAAAATATTGTGGCACATAATCGTTGTACGAGCCCGTTTTGAATAAGTATTCTGGCGGAAAAGATAAATCAAAATGTAATGGCATGGAGTCGAGAGATGTATGGCTACTATCGGGTGTCAATTGTGGTTTAATCGAGAGCAACGAGCCAAACTTCCACATAACAGGTGGAGAAAACTGTTCGCAAAATTGCGAGTAATTGTCCTTATCAAGCGAGTTTTGACATCGACGAAGAACAACAAGACCAAATTTTTCCAATAACATTTTCATCCAGGCGACATCCAATTGAAACACATCAATTTTCTTACTTAAATCAATAGACAAACCGAAGCGGGGTGACTCGCCAAGCAACGACAACTTTATAGTGGACGCAACTGAAACGGGCGAGTTTTGAGGTAACTGGACAAAGCACCATATTTGATTTTTGAACATTATTGGGACATGTTGGCTTTGTAAATGTAATTTTCGATATGGCATCAAATCTAGACTTCCTTCAACGCTGATAACCAGGACGTTTTGCCACGGTGTGCGAAGAACACTACGGCCACCGGAATCCTTGAAAAAACGAATTGTGAATTTTTCTCCACTATTTGGATGTTGATGAATGGAAAGTCGAATATGCTTTGGATAGTGTTGTTTCAACAGATTTGTCAATGCTTCATTCCGTGTGATCATTTGTTCGGCGATCAAACTCATCTGACTTTTTAACTGTCGACGCGAAAGATCTTTATACTTGGCGCTGTTACCTAAATCATCTTCCATAAATTTTCTCAAATGAACAAATTGTTCTCGATTACTTTCGGATTCGAGTAACCATTGATCGAAAGCAAACGTTGGTGTTCCATATATTTTCATCAAACTCTCACCATTTCCAGTTCCCACGTAATTATTCATACTATCCCATTGAATATGGGTCATTGTCATTGAGTAGTATTTTAAAAGATGCTCATATGTAGCGATGTCTACTTCAGGTACACCAATCAGATCACCAAATACTCGTCCATCCGACCATACTACCAGTTTACAGCCATGTTCATAGAGGAAACTGATTTCTCGACAAATTTCATTGAGATATTCGAGTGCGTACAATTCGCCACCATCGGGCAATTTTCCGCAAACTTTTTTCAGATTCGGAGATTTGCACGGAAATGCTGGCACCAAAAGTTCAATGGGTCGATTTTCTTGCATAAACGTTTGAACTTTCTTCAACAATACATCTCGCCCATGTTCAGCATACAAATCATCTTGCGACGTTGAGCGGATTGCCAATAAGTTACTCTCCAAAATATCGATGATTTTCAATTCCAAGGATGACATTTGTTCTTCTTATTCACTTGATCGAAGTGAATAATTAATCGACAAATATACTTTAACGGCAATGAGAGTAAGAGGGCAATTGTCTCTAAACAAATTAAAATTGAAATTAAAGAAAGTAGATAAGTTATATGCGAAAAGCTTCCACTAAAATCTATCTTTCCTTTGATGTGACTGCAAAGAATAGTTGGCTAACGATGAATGTATTGACTTGTAAGGCATTTATTTATATAAATGATGCGTGCTGTTCAGAACCTTGTACATCCAGGTGTACAGTAACAGATGAGGTGGTGGGAATGAGAATGATCACTATGATGTTCATGGAGTGAATGCCAGTACTTATTTTTTTTGGTACTTACCATAAGTTCGGGACTTATCTACGAGAAACAACACCAACACAATTTGCTAATCTAATTGCTTCGCCATCCCCTGAATGAATATTCCTCTAGCGCAACTATCGGCCGCCAGCGGAACTAGTTGTTTCCTATGAAGAACTAACGAGTGAGTCATAAAGAATGAGTCGCGTTTATTTTCTAATTTGGCGAACTGAAATACAGTTTAAAGGCTCTGTGTTAAGCCCATTCGATAGAGAATTTTTTGCTCTACAAAACCCTGTACATCCGATATTTATACGTCGTTTGGTCACATGTAGCAGTAAGGCATAATAAAGGCAGATAGAAAGTACAACTGTGATTTATGGTGAAACGTTTGATGATCTTTCAGCTTCACAGTGATTTTTTTAGAAATAATACAGTAATTGAGAAAAATGGATTCTATAAAAGCACTCAGCGAATTAGGGCTTTCATCGAGACTATAGACCGCTCATTCGGATAGGCAACACATGTGTGAAAGGTTTAGTGCACAAGTTAATTGTCGCTCTCGCGGAACGTATGTTTTTGCAAAGAGCAGAAAGAGAACTATATAGTTAAATTTTAAAAATTTTATCAGAATCATCTTCTAAACCGATTTTTCCTGGAGTCCTAAAAAAATTGCACATTTATCGGATTGCAGGTGAATGTGCACAACAAGCAGATGCGACGGTTAAATATGCAATACCAGCTATTTTAGCTGGGACAAGTGAAACCTAATTTGTGACGTTTTTCTGGGCTTGGATAGCTCTAAATATCCAAACTTAACTCGAGGTTATCAGATAGGTTTAAACACGGAATTTACTACGAACAGCTCTACAAAAATTTCTTGTGCACATTTATCTCCTGACAGCCCAGGGGTAAAAAAATTGACAAAAAAACGCGTTTTTTTTTCGTTTTTAACGACCAAAAAACGCGTTAAAGGTTTCAGAACCAACGCGTTTCTTTTTGTCGTTTAAACGCGTTTTTCTTTTATCTATTCGTTTGA